CACCATCTTCATCATCACCACCATCTTCATCATCACAGTCATCATCACCATCACCACCATCTTCATCATCACCACCATCACATTCTCTTTGTCTCACACAATCATCATCACGATAAGTACATCATCATAACCATTACTATAGCGTACACCATCATCTGTGTACACTTACGTTGTCTGCCTTGTTACAGACCAATTTAGAATAGCAGGCATTTTTCTCCCTTTCAGCTACAGTATACTCCAGAGGTTGGAATTCAGCATGGTACACTTCAATATTCTCTGCTCCAAACTTTTCTATAGCATCTTCCTCTGAGTAACCACATGCTCCATACTCCAGAGGAGTAAAGACTGTTGTTGGCACATTGATGTAGTCACACTGTACAGTCAATAATATGTTATAGTTAATTAGCAATCATTGTATCCTAAGATGCATTGGTACAACACTAAAATTAAACAGGTGCGAGACTCAAGGGAGAGTAGAGTGGGTCAAGGTAGGAGATGGAGCAAAGATGTATTGATCAAGGAAGAAAGGAATAATGCAGGGAGGCAGAGGAAGTATGGTAAATGGAGGGAGAGTAGAGGGAAACTACAAGAGGAAGGGACACTTGAGGGAATTAATGCAAGAGGAAGGAAGGAAGGAAGACTGAGAGAGGAAAAAGAGGAAGCATGCTTACCAAAGTAGAGTCATTATTATAAAGCCTCCGGGACAAGAGTTTACCAGCCTCAATAGCAACAGGAGTGAGTTCCAGTTTATCATTCAATATATCACCAACGGCATATATGTTGGGTACATTCGACTGTTCATTATCACCTGCAATCACTTTGTTATTCCTGAAATTAATAAAAAATTTCTTAATACATCTATATTCTAGAGTTAAAATTTTATAATTTTTAACATTTCATTTTTTCGTGGGGAGGGGGGGGGGCAGAGTAAAAAACCTATTATATGGCAATAAGGATGCATGTTTGATTAAACACCCTGAGAATGATGTATACTTACTTTGGATTCAAGGAAACCCCAACCTTGTCCAATCCTATCCCTAAGGTGCAAGCATCTCGACCAATAGCAAAGATGACCTAAAGTATGAAATAGCACTACATTTCAAAAAAATAACGGAGTTTGCAAAAACAAAGCAAATTCCAGAGTCCTAGATAATAGTAACCAGTAACAATAAAATCCCAGTTATAACCCATGGGCTAATACTCATCTGTAAGGTTTTTTTGATGGGGTTATAACTGGCAGGGCTTATAAACTGGAGGGAAAAGGTTTGGATGATTTCCGTTAACTTTACAGTCAATATCTTATCTTCATCAACAAAATATTACGAGATACCAGATGTGGGCTTATAAACAAAGGGAGCTTATAAACCAGGAATTTGTGGTACTCCTACAGTAGGTTTTGAATAATTCTACTTACAGTGTTGCACTCAATAAAACTCTCTTTTCCTGTATCAACTTCCTTGTAGTAGACCTTCAGTTTGGCAGGAGTACCATCTTCTATTTTTTCTACTTTTGTTGGGATGGCAGGTCTTTTGAACTTAACTCCATGGTTTCCCATATATTCTCCCACTCTTTCTGCAATTTGCTAGAAAATACAGTAGGGGGGCGAAATTGAAAAAAGTACAAAAAATCAAAGTCTGTTTGATCTCATTGCCAAATTAAACCCCACAATTTCATGCTGCATGAGACCATATAGAGTAATCCCAGTTTCATGTTTCTGCAACCTAACTGGCTCTATCCATTTTTGTAAGACATTGTGTAGTTCTAGAAATTATCTCCATAGCCCCCCCCCCAGAGGATTTTGGAGTTTTCAAGGGGTGGGTGGGTCAGAGAAAGAATATAATTAAAGAGTTTGTATGGAAGAAAACTGGATTTCTTTTACAATACCTGGGCGGGGGGGGGGGGGGGGGGGGGGGGGGGGGGTATGGATAATTTTTGGAAATACACATTTGGCATTTTGGCCAATCAAATTTAAATTTGGCCAATCAAAAGACCAATCAAATTTACCATGAGCCAAGTTCATTCCAATAGCRAGTGATAAATATTCTCACAATTCAACAGACATTTTTCTCTGGGAAAACATTTCTCTTTCACAATATTGGGATGCACTATGCATGGTAAATTTGATTGGCAGTAGGCAACATGCCAACCAGCTCCAAAAATCTGGAGTCAGTTAGGTTGCAGAAACATCAAACAGGCTGTAAAGAGGTTGGTAGTTTCTTTTCTGGGTGCTAAAAGTATGGCAACATGGACTTTGAAATTGAATAATCAATTCCTGCATACAACAGATTGGGATACAAGTTTAACTTGCTTTTCAACTTACTTGATCAAAACCTCTTAGTAAAATAGAGCGGACCAAAATAGTTACATCCAGGCCAATACCAGCTAGAAATCCTGCACATTCTAATGATACATAAGATGCACCAATCAGTACTGTCTTACCAGGGCAGTAGGACAATGAGAATAGGTCATCACTGTAAAAATTAGAGAATAACTGTTATTGCAATTTTGAGACAATAATATGGGTTTAGGTTGACAGTGTTGGAAGAAAATATATCCTGTATTGGCCTTCATCACAAAAAAAAGGGTTTACATCAATTGATAAACTTTTTATATAAAGTACAATAAACAGTGTGGCATCTCGAACTGTGAAATGCTCTTTTAAAATGTAAAATGAGTTGTTTACACAAGTGTAATTCTAGAAGAGTTATGAGAGTAATTCTAGAGGAAATTTAGGCTTTTTTTAAACAAAGTAAGGAAGAGAGAGACAATAAAATAGGGATTGCAGTGATGACGAGAAATAACCATTAGTTTAGTACAGCTTCTCCCTATCTAATCAGGCATGGCACATTCCTTAGTTGGTAAGAGTCTCTAAATTAGTATTTTGATTGTTCCAAATCAGAATTATTATTTCCAATATGCTTATTATTATGATTATGATTATGTTATTGTTGTTTACAGTGGTTTCTGCATTTTTTCCATTTTCAGTATTTTCGTTGTTTTTGACATCTTCGTTGCTTTTGTTGATATCGTTGTTGTTTTCGTTTTCTGATGTAATAATTTTTTTGAATTTTTAAAACAAATAAAGAATAACGACAGACATCAGTGATGAGATGAAATTATGAGGTGATATTACATGTACCTAGTGATGCCAAACTCCTTAGCTCCTGGGATATCTGGATAACGAGGTCGCAGACCAGTTGCTAGCACAAATGTCTCAGCTGTCATGGTTGTCTCTTTGCCTTTTTTATCAGTAGCCTGCATGAGTAAAGTGTGTTAACCATTTACAAATAATTCTACTTTCCGTACACCTTTTTTTTAAACACTCTCGGTCGGAGGTCTGAAATCTAAAATCTGAAACACTTTACCAGTGCAGGTCATCGTTCAAAGGTGGAGGCATATTTAGGTATTAACTTGTTACAAACTACTATTAATTGAAAAGACAAAACAATTATCACTTTCCTTGATATTCAAACTTAAAGCTCACAGACCATAATTCATTTCATTTCTCAGATTTCAGATTCTAGATCTCTGACCAACCTTTTTTGAAATTATTTCTTTGTTTGCATCACTGCTGCATTATTAGGAAATTAAGCAATGACAAGCATTAATGACACTAACACAGGGATGATGACAAATTGCATGTTTTTTATACAATTTGTTATGCAATCTTTTCTATAGACCCCTTGCAGCACATTATTTGAAGGACATAACACTAGATTTTCAATTCTTATGAGATTTTTTTTTGTTTTTTTTTTTTGTTTTTGTTTTTTTTGTTTTTTTTGTTTTTTAGTTTGCTTTGTTCTCCCAATTGAGCAGCTTTGATGTCATATGCAACAGGGTCTATTATGTAAAAACCAATTGTCGTTCAACTCAGCCTGATAGACTGTGCATGAAAAAGCATCACCCTGGCACTTCTTTCTTCTATGCTTCTCAATGTTCAAGGTTCAAATTATTCTATTACATCAACAGAAAACAAAAACATTAGGATTTCAATCAACATGAGAAATATTTTGTATTACCTTAATTGTGTGATTGTCAATGAATTCTGCGTAGGAATTTTTGTAGGTAACTTTCTTGTCTCTCAGCTGAACTCTGTATCCCCAGTTCAAAGATCCAAYGTAGTTCTAAAGACAACAAAAATGCAAGCATGAAAAAACCAATGATTTTCAKAATTACTTGTAATAAAAACATAGCTTTTACTTTAAGAGAGAATTCTTTTTGTATTCAAGGGGTGAGCGCCAAAAACTATTTTCTTGAAGAAAGGCTGTTGTACAAGGCTAAAATCTTGTTATTCAGAAAGTTTAACTTCAGGAAGTGGAGATGACCGATGAAAGTGGAATCAAAGTGTTAACCCAAAGCAAAAATGTTATTCAAAAATGAGGTTTAGGCCTTCATTTGCTTATTTCCCATATATTTTCTATAAAAAAGCCTGACAAAGCAACATTCTAACACAAATACAACAAAACATCTTTGTACAATTGAAAATACCACTTCAAACAGGCATTTTATCATAGTACATCAGTTTCTAACTGTTTAAAAAAGGTTTTGAGTGCTATCCAAAATTAAAATTGGATCAAAACTCATACGAAAGTCTAGTTTTTGGCGCTTTTTGCCATTATTGCTCATTATTGAAACAAATTTCCTCTTAAAATACAAGAGAATCCTAGTGAAGATTCTCACCTTTTAGAGAATGATTGGGTCGGTGTTGACTGGTAGAACGAAGCTTGGGATTGGGCAAAATAACAAAAACAAAGAAAGCATGGATTATGGTGAACAACGTGTATTGTTCTACATGTGAGCTGCGTTCTTTGTTTTATCTCACCATTCATTGTTTGTTCATCCACTCCCAGGCTTCGTTCTGCCTGTTGTGTGTTACCCGAATGATTGAGAATAAAAGACAAGGGGATATTATTATCAGAATGATTGAATGAGGTTTTGATTTTAGGTAATTCAAAGACTTAAAAGATATTTTGCAAAATTTCGAATGTAATCCCTTAAGGTGACTGCCTACTTTTGGAAATTGATTTAAGCTTTTTTTAAAACTTCGATTTTCCGAATTGAAATTTAATGCTGATTCCAAATCTGGAAAGAAAAATAGGGTGTCCCGAGCTTGTTTTTGAGATAATCAGCATTTAATGGAAGCCTACGCACGAGCTTTTGGAGTAAAAATTGCACCACCGGAAGTGATAAGAAAAAAATTAAGATTCATAAGATAATAGTTATTTGCAGACTAT